TATATATATATATATATATATATATATATATATAGAATGTATCAATCATTTGATCATATGATCTTAAAATAAATATATAGAGAGAGAGAAAATTAGAATCAAATAGTTGTTTAAAAAAAACTAAAAAACAAACTAAAATAAAGTAAGAAAGATAAATTGAAAGATAGGAAATAACTATATATTTAAAATATACTGACTCGATTAATTTAAATTTATATTAGGGTAAGTAAAGCCAATTTAAATGGAAAATCTTCCTACTTCTCGGTTACTACCTAATAATTGATTTAAAAAAATAGATTATTATTATTTTTAGTATATATACATGGTAAAAGTTATTGATGAGATAAATATACATGGTTTAAATTATTATATTGGGAGTATTTTTTTTAAAAAAATAATACTATTATTTACTATATATGAATATATATATATGGCATAAATTTTTTATATCTAAAATATATCATGTACTAATTTTATGGTATAAATATAATTTGTAGCAAAGTCAGATCCAAATTCATTGTTATCCATAATTATATGGATAGTTTACCTTACAATTCATTTTAAATCTGTTCAAATTCGATCCAATTTGTCTATTTATTCACTATATAAAACACAAACTCTCTTACAAAAACACACTCCAGCTTCAATTTTCTCCATATATACAAAAAAAAAATCCTCATTTAGTTACTAATTTCTTTTAAAATGAAAATTTTAATTTTCCTAATGATGTTTCTTACTTTAGTGTTAGTAACAAATGGGATTAATAAACTAGTAGAAACAACATGCAAAAACACACCAAATTATGATTTGTGTGTGAAAACTTTCTCATTAGACAAAAGAAGTGAAACAGCAGGAGATATTAAAACATTGGCATTAATTATGGTTGATGCTATTAAATCTAAAGCTAATCATGCTTTTAGTATTATTTCAAATCTTAGGCATTCTAGTCCTCCTCAAGCTTGGATACATCCCTTAAAGGAATGTGCATTTTCATATAAGGTAACGTTTCGATTTATCTGTCTTACTTTTTTCTTTTAATTCGTTTAACAACGTAACGAATGTCTCTTTTCCTTTTTTGGCCGGTTTGAAATATGTTCTTTTCCTTCTCGAAAACTCATTATTTTCAACTTTTTATATGACATCTGTAAGACCAGCTACAAGATTATATTAAAGAATAAATCTGTAAGACTAGTTAATAATGGAAAAAGTATTATCATTTTATTTACAAGCACGAAAATATAGGAAGAGGTCGAGAGGATTTCAAACGTATGATAATATTGTGATTTTCTGATGGAGGGGTGTCAGTTGATTCTATCTCCTTTGCTTTGCCTCAACATTGGAGTTTGTGTGATACTATACTATTGTTTATTTTAGAATTAAAAAAAAAGGTTAATTACTATACTTCAAGTAGTTTAACTTAAGCCTAATCACATATTTTTCAAGCCACAAAAAGCTCGTTACTTCTTTAATATAACCTCCCTTTCATAATAAATGATATTTTTATCTTATTCTGACTCAAAATAAGTGGTGTTTCACGTAACTGAGAAAATATTAATTGTATAATAACAAAAAAAAATACTTAATACTGTAAATATAGAAATATGTCATTTTTCTCGAATATCAGATATTGATTATTTTATTATATGATTTCCAAAACAGGTAATTTTAACAGTAAGTATACCAGAAGCAATAGAAGCATTAACAAAAGGTGATCCAAAATTTGCAGAAGATGCAATGGTAGGTACTTCTGGAGATGCACAAGAATGTGAAGATAATTTCAAGTCTAAATCTCCACCACTTTCTAAATTAAACATAGATGTTCATGATCTTTCTGATATTAATAGAGCTATTATAAGAAATTTATTGTGATGTGTCATGTTACGTTACGTTATGTTACATGTGTCCTTCATAAAATTATTGACATGTGTAATGTACCCCTCTTAATAATTATAATAAATTAATCATGAAAAATTTGTGTTGTGTATAAGCGTAATATTGATAAGTTCTAAGTGTTATTGATTATATGATTTAAATTTTTTGTTTGACAATAAATTTTGTATATATATATATATTGATTGGTGATGTTTTTTTTCTTGAAAATGAAATGACACACAAATGAATAGTATAACGTGTCACCATCTAATTCGTCCTTTTAATTGAACCTCATCTTGTAGATCAGGTACAACTAAGAACTTTTTTAATTATATATATTATTTGTTTAGATTAGCATTAAGTAGAACAAGAAAATCAACATTAAGCATCATTTAAACTCTAAATTGTGTTATGACTGAACCATTAGATCCATATCGTGATTTCGAAAAATAACACTAAGAATTATTGATTTCGAATCAAACAACACTAAGCATCATGAATACAACAACATTTTCTGAGAGTCTGAACAAAACAGTTATTCAAAGAGTGAGGTAATTAGCTCTATGAAAAGTACTTGTTTTGTGGAACTTCCATGCAGAAAGTGAGTTCAAAGGAGTTCCTTTCCATCCAATTGTTACAAATTTTTCATTCATTTCAAGCGTGAAAGAGTTCTTACCAGTAAATTTTTCTACAACCGTCTTGGCTTGGTACAACGATGAGTTGCTCATTTTCATCTCCTCCATTCCAAATCGCTTGAAATATTCTCTCCATAACTCGATCGTTACATGTCTCATAGTCCTTTCCTCCCCCTCATTCGCGACAATGTTCCTTATTCCGTGCCACATTACATCTTCTTCCATTGCCTTCCTAGTTGATTCATTACTTTTCATACAATCCTCGAACAAATCAAACAAAGCACCGTGATAGAATAGAGCTTCAATGAAACGGTTAACAAAAACAGGAGAGTTAAGATTTGCCTCGACCTCTGCAACAATCATTATACGAGGAGTCATTTCTTTGATGAATCCCATCAAGAAATCGAGTCTATCTTGTTGTGTTATCATGTTGGAGAGTAGATATTGCGAGTAAACTGCAAGGGATTCATCAGGATCGATGTCTAAGTCTTCTTTCTTTAGATCCAAGATATCTTCCACCATAACTATCTTGAAACATAACGGAAAGTGTAAGGACTCAGCAAAACTCATTAGTCGTTTACCTGTCTCCTCGACGTTAGTCCTTGATTGAACATCTATCAATGCAGTTACCTTAAGATACTCAAGAGGATTTTGAGAGTTGTGTTGATGATCATTTGCAAGTGCTTGCATTAGGATTGTCCATTGCACTCCCATTTTGATCTCGAGATCAACTATATGAATCTTTTTCGAGTTCTCTACATTTTCCACTATAGCTTGAATTCCAGCAAATTTCACCACTTGACACATTGGCATGTCCTGAACTGCAATCGTGCATGCGTTTATACTCCTTAACGACTCCTGAAGATCTCTCATTCCATGTAACCCTAAACCTTTCGTGCAATTTTTCCCCATTTCAATATCAACTCGTTCGCGTAGAGCACGAGAGAAATAGTACACCAATCTCTCAACAGGGTTCCCTGTTTTGGAACTCAGCTTATCACATTCATTCAAAAGGTTAATCGCGCTATCAAAAAGCTTCTCCCCGATTTTCTCTGCAGAAGCAAGTAGATGTTCAACGAGCATTACGGTTCTAGACTCTTCTTCTGAAAGACTACACAATGAGTTAACAAATGGATGATCAAATTCAGTTGATTGAATAAATTTTTGTCCGCCAAATCGAAGAATTTCCTCTGTGGACAATTTACAAACACTTGGTGTGCATTCATTTTCACTAATTTGAACAACATCAATTTTTTGCCCCTTTAATTTTCTAAATCCATTTCCATAGTCTTTCAATATGTTGAGTGAAGAAATCAATGATTTCTTCGCTTTTTTGTTATCATCT